ATACAGGGCTTTAGAATATCGATACAGTATCGGGAAATGAAATATCGCGATATTTCAGTGTATCGATATTTTCTTACACCCTTACCTGAGAGGCACTACTAGCCCCTCCCCCGTCAGAGTGTCGGCGCAGGACGAGTCAGTGCAACGTCAATCAAATTAGAGAGAGGGTGGGGGCGATTGCTGCATTGGGGGGAGAAAATGTTTTATGGGTAGAGTAGTTTATTTTCCTGTAATACTTCATTATAGTTTTTTAAAGACAAAGCTAATTGAAAGGGGCGCTGAGCAGAGTTACAACCAGGGATTACAAATAATGACTTTTTTTCTTCTGCAGTTCGGTGCCCCCTCCAGCAGATGGCGCTCTAGGCGACCGCCTAGTTCACCTATGCCAAGAGCCGGCTCTGCAAAACATTATTGTTTAACTTTGTTATTAAATTATACTGGTATCACAAAGAACTGCTTGGACTTAAAAAACAATAAATTATTATCTTTTTTATTTAAAGCCCCATTTCTGTTTTGCAGGCTAATATATTTGGTTTAACAGACTCACTGTTAAATTAAATTGATATAATCACAATTAAGCAATAATATCGCGCATCACATTTTTTTCTTATATTGCAGCCCTTTTCAAGTTTTACTTATAACTGTTCTTTACTCTGCTGCTTTACTATATAATGTTGAGAACCCGATGAACTGATTTCAGTTATTAATTAAATTAGCCTCTGTAGCAGTCGGCTGTAATATTTCGCCTGCTAGCATGCTAACTCTAGCCTGTTTCAGTGTTTCACCTTGAAAAACAGGTGTTGCTTCTCAGACAGACAAACTATGATGGATTGTATCCACCAGGTAAAAACTTTAACAAATAGAAATGGTTATTTTTATTAATTTTTTTATGAACATGGAGGTTTGAGGGGAATTCGTCCCTCTGCCAAAACACGCCCGAACAGATTGGAGCAACAAGTAGGAGAGGGAAGCTGCAATGAAAAGAAGCTGCTTTGTCTTTATGATATTAAATGACTGGAGGTGGTGACTTTTAACACTGTTTAAAGCAATAATCAGCCCATAAATATCTGTTTACCTGTTGGAGACGACATCATCTCTCTGAGTAAACAGGCTGTTTACAGGCCTTTAAACAGATTTATAAACCATTTTTTTTAATTATAGGGTTCACATTTTGTGGCTAATTGTTTGACCTCGTTAGTTTTTCTTGCTTGTTTTCTACACTTTGAGCACAAATAACATGTTGTTGTGAATCTGACGTGCAGTCGGCATCTTTCAGCCTCCGCGGTTCGCAGCCGCCGTCTGAGCCGATGGTTCTGCACTTCCTTCTTAAATATTGATTAAAGGACTGCTCTTGTCCTTTTATAGCCTGAGATCTGTGGCAACGCAGGCCAAACCACAATGTAATTATTGGAGAAATTACAGCCTGTAGGATGAAAACAGGGCAGATGCTCCTCTCCCGCTGCAGTGATCCGTTTGTCATATGTTGGGAGGTATGTCGGATAAAAGGATCAGAACTGGGAGAATATTAGTGGTGGCTTCTGCTTTTGATGGGTCCGTGTGGCTTAATGAGGTTTTTATTAATGTTCCTTAATGACAAGACGAATGCAGAGGGGACTGATTACAGGGGATGTTTTTAATCCTTGTCATAGAGCAAACATATTCATTTTGTTTTGCTGAACCGGAGAGTTAAATTGTAATAATTAAGTTTTTTTATGTTTAAATTCTCTTATAGTGTTTTGGTAGTTTTACCAGAAACTCTTTAATTTAGTTTAAGACGTAATTCTTTAAATATGAATAAAAAATGTTTCATTTAATCAAATAAATCAAATCAAATCCGGTTCAGTTTAGTGGCTTATATGTTGATGTGTAGCTCAGAAATGCGGGTACGCACTCAATGTAAACAAACCACTTTTACCTGCTTACTTTAATGAACAAATTGAAGCCTATAAATGTATTTATACACAAAGTTTTTTGTACTGTGTGATCCCAAACATCTTTTCTTTCATGTTTAAATTCTCTTAAAGTGTTTTGGTAGTTTTACCAGAAACTCTTTAGTTTAGTTTAAATAACTGTGGTTGAGACTTAATTTAAATATGAATAAAAAAAGTTTTATTTATGTTTTCATTTTGGTTAAACATTAAAGATAATCATATTAAAAATATGATCCTGAGTCAAAACCGGTTCAGTTTAGTGGCTTATATATTGAAGTGTAACTCTGAAACGCGGGTACGCACTCAATGTAAACAAAGCACTTTTATCTGCTTACTTTAATGAACAAATTGAAGCCTATAAATGTATTTATACACAAAGTTTTTTTTGTACTGTGTGATCCCAGACATCTTTTTTTATGGGTTGACCTTTGTTCAGTCACTCTGGCTGTTTTTGTAAACAATATGAGAATTTCTGAATTTTGTTCCGACTGGACGAGAAGCTGTAAGGTCCGCCTCAGCTGGTCACTGAATAAAATGTCCACTTTGGGAAGTTTATTTTATTTGATATTTTTTGAAGCTCAGATAAGTTTGGTTGGAGGCCTCGGCTCTGGGTGACGGTGTGACAGGGGGAAAAAAGAAAAAGGAGAGGCGTTTGTGTGCTTGTCATTGTTTCTGTTGTGAGTGTACAAAGCTTTGTCAGTCACTCTGAGCAAACAGCCTCCACTTTTCCTCCCCCTCCTCCTCCTCCTCCTCCTCCTCCCTCCTTGTCTCCAGTCCGTTGACATCTGTTTCGAGTCCTCCGTGCACCTGTAGAGACCAGGAGAGTGTGCGTTGAGGAAGGAGGGAGGTTCAGAATGCAAATCCAGGCGTTTGTTCTGGGCCCGGGCAACGCAGAGCGACTGACTAACGACCATTTGGTGTGTGTGTGTGTGTGTGTGTGTGTGTGTGTGTGTGTGTGTGTGTGTGTGTGTGTTTCCTTCTCATCCAGGCCTCATTGTTGCAGCAACAGGCGTCGCTGGATGAGGACGCACCATATGTTCTCTGTGTGCTTTAGTCACAACTGCTGTGTTTGCGCTCACGTTCATGTGTGTATGTGTGTGTGTGTGTGTGTTCAGCTACTTCACCAATGCTGCTGCAATATGGTGGGGTTTGGAGCGACGGGCGGCTCGCAGCCCTCCTCCTCCTCCTCCACGTCTCATCTGTCGTCTCACAGAATCCTGCTCGCAGATTGTCCACAGGCTGGGATTAGAGAGGAAAATCGGAGTAATCTGAGGTTTTGTGAGCTCCGCGCTTCCTTTAGATTCCAGTGATCTTGGTCTAAATGTATCAGAGCTGCGTGAGGCGGGGAGAGCTGTCAGGGCAATCAACAGGTGATACCAGGAAGTGTTTTTTCCTCTGAATCCTTTCAGGTATCTGTTGCTTCAGTCCAGGGGCGTCACTAGGTTTTAAGGACAAGGGGGGCTTAGACCCCAAGAGACGCACAGAATTTTTGTATATTATATATTTGTATTGTGTGTGTGTATGTATGAATGTATATTTTGAGCAGT